TGTTTGCAAAGGAAGAGTGGTCCAAAATTCCGGGTGAGAGGTGTCAGAAGCTTATTGATGGTTATAGGAAGCGACTGATTTCAGTTATGTTTTCCAAAGGGTGTGCAACCAAATATTAAGTTAAGGGTGCCAATACTTTTGTCCAGCCCATTTTTGGGGTTTTGTGTGACATTATGTCATATTTGCTTTTCTGCCTCTGTTTTATATTTGTTCCAATACATACAAAGGGAATAAACATGTGTATAGCAAAACATGTGTTAATGCAATACCTTTTTTGTGTGAAATACTTGATTTTCAGGAAAAATATCAAGGGTGCCAACAATTTCGGCCATGACTGTATGTGTTATCATTGGAACCTTTACTGGAAACAATTAGGAAAAAAACGTAGACATAAAGGGAATACAGATAGGGGAAACTGAACACAAAAAGTGGCAGCTTTTGCGGATGACTTGTTGTTTTATGTGGGAAATCCTAGGATAACACTCCCGAACTTAATAAAAAGCTTAAAGGAGTATGGGAATTATCAAATCTAAAAATCAACCCAACAAAAACTGAGATTTTAAATATAAAAATCTTCCGAATAGTGAGAAAGAAAAGATACAAAAAGAATTCCCTTTCATTTGGAGAGATAAAGAGATAAAATATTTAGGGGTTAAACTTACTGCTTCATATACAAAATTGTATAAATTAAATTATATTGCTCTTCTAAATGAGATCAAAGAGGAAATTAAGAAATTGGGAGGAGGAAACCCCTCTTGGTTAGGACGTATAAACTTGATAAAAATGATAATAGTACCCAAAATCCTGTACAAATTTCAGATGATTCCAGTTAGACCCCCCAGAGGCCTTTTTTAAAGAAATTAAAAGGATGATAACAAGATTCATATGGAGAAATAAAAAACCTAGAATATCTTATGACCTGATGACTAGAAGTAAAGAGAGAGGGGGATTGGGAGTGCCAGACCTTAAAAGATATTTATAACGCTGTAATCTTAACAAGAATTTATGACTGGACACATAATGGTGAAGGGAAAAGATGGGTTAAGATAGAGGATGATTTGAGTGGAGTGGATTTGAGTAGAAGTATATGGGCACCTACACAATATAGAGGTTTAAAAGACACCACGAGTATATATACACTGAATGTATTAAAGGTTTGGGATAATTTACATAAAAGTATGAAATGGGATTTTAACTCACAATTAATGTCACTAAGGAATATGGAGTATTTTCCACCAGGTATAGAGGGGAGAATGGGAAAATGGATTAAAAAGGAAGATATCCAACTGAGAGATATTATGGATGGACACAAATTGAAAACACTGAAGGATTTAAAGAAAGCTGGAGGGGAATTTTTTAGTAAGATAGATGAGTGGAAATATCACCAATTAAAACATTTTGTAGAAGGCCTTCCGAAACCCTATGAGAGGGAAAAAAGAAGTGGAATTTGTTTGAGAGATTGTTGGAATCACGAGGAGATGGGAGACGGGGCACGGCAAAAATTTATAAGATTCTCACTGAATTAGTCATGAAAGTAAAACCAATCTATATAGAGAAATGGGAAAAAGATTTGGGGATAGAAATAGATGAGAATAAACAGAGGAAAATATATAGACTTACACATGAAAATGTCAGTATGAGAGAGGTGGAGGTAAATTATAAATGTTTAGTTAGGTGGCACATCACACCGATTGTTGAACACAAAATAGAGGTAGAAAGAACACAGGAGTGTTGGAGGGGGTGTGGAGGGATTGGTACGTGGTTCCATATGTGGTGGGAGTGTCCAAAGATAGAAAGGTACTGGGAGAAAATGGTCAATTTAATAAGGAAAATTTCAGGGATAAAGATAGGACTAGATCCAGAAGTGTGCTTGTTACATAGTACAGATATACCAATGAATAAATATAAAGATTCAGGTATATGGTACTATATGAATGCAGCAAAGGGCCTAATACCTAAATTCTGGCATAGTCCAGAGGTGCCGGGAAAAAAGGATTGGGTAGAGAGAGTAAATCAGATCAGTAAGATCGAGAAGTTGTATTATAGCCAAGAAGATAAAATGGAGATCTACATTAGGAGATGGAGGCAATGGGAAGAATTTATACATCAAATGAATACATGTGAAGCAATGGAAAGTGATGAATGAAGTTTCTGTGTCTTTTTTTTTTCTTTTCTTTTGATCTTTAGGAAAGGATGAAAGAGAGAAACGCAGAGTGGGAGGGTGGGAAATAGGGGTAGAGGGAAGGGAAATAAGGGGGGGAAAATAGAAGGAGATAAGAATTTTATAAGATAGATGAGTGTTGAAGAAATGTATTATCTTCCTCTTTTTATATGTATTTATGAACATGAAAAAGTAATAAATATTTGAATTAAAAAAAAAAAAAAAAAAAAGACACTGTATCCCATCTGCACATGGCGGACATATATCGCCTTTCTCACCCGGCTGACAGGGAATTTACCTACTATTTGCTTCCACACGACATTATGTCCCGTATTGACTATGTATTCTGCTCCTTCTCCCTTTTACCTATGATGAGATACTAAGAGATCTTGGCAATAGCCATCTTGGATCACAGAACATGCTACTGACCCCATTTTATTTTATGAAACGGCCAAGGCGGTCCGGCGGGGTAAAATTATATCTCATGTTTCCCAGTACAAGAGGCACCCTTGGACCAGTTCTGCCTGGCTACTACAACTCTTTCGAAAGGCCCAATTAGAACGTGGCCAGAATAGATCCACAGAAAGGAAACAGAAATGGCAGGAAGCTAAGAGAAATTTTGAGTTATGGGTCGAACAAAGGGAATGAATCAAAATGTCTTATCACTCCCTACAATTCCATAAATACTGCAATAAGGCCGGAAAACTTTTGGCCAACCTTTGTCGAGGCCCCTTTGCTCCTACCCATATTATGGCACTCAAGGACCCTCATGGAAATCTGACGACCTCCTCACACAACATATCCTCTTTTATTAATGAATTTCTACCAACAACTGTACTCTGAGGAACAGGTAGATATGGAAAAAGCGGAATTTGCTCCTACAGTCTCTTCACTTACCCCGTCTTTCCCAATCTCACTTAGATGTTCTGAATGCACCTATCATTTCGGAAGAGCTCCTGACAACTATTGCTAATCTATCTAATTGTAAGGCCTCTGGCCCAGATGGCTACTGATCTGAATTTTACAAGTTTTCCTACGAATACGTTCACCATACCATGTTGCAAGTATACAACAATATATGGCAGGGTGGCCTTTATCTCCCTACGGGATCCACAGCGTTTATAAAGTCCCTGGTTCATATCGCCCTATCTCACTCATTAATGTGGATGCTAAGATCTTGTCCAAAACAGTCGCCTCACGTATGGCGAGTATTCTCCCTGGCCTCCTGCACCCTGCTCAGGCAGGGTTTGTCAAAGGTAGATCGCCAGTTCTACAAATCCGCAAAGTCATTATGGGTGCTGGAACAGGTTAAGCTTCACTCCAATCAAGATATAGCCATTCTGTCTCTTGACGCGGAAAAAAGCATTCGATAATATTAATCTCCACTGGCTCTTCTTAGTCTTGAGGAAATTCAGTTTTCAAGGACCAATCGTGCATTTATTTCTCTCCATGTATTCCTCTCCTATGGCTAGGTTAATCACTCAGAGTACAGTACCCCCTGGGTTCATTTGTGTCTTTTGTCTGCTCGGAGAGTGTTACTGAGGGCCAGGATATCCCCTCACAGCCCTACCTTATCCTCTGTCAAGAAAGATTTGAAATCACTTTTTATACCTGGAAAAATTGGATACCCTGGTCCAAAATTTTGGCCGCACCAAACGTTTTTTCACATGTTGGAGGGCTTTTATCGAACATACATTTTCCCAACGGGAAATAAATCAACTTATGGCTACATTCCAATATACTGCCTGGTATGCTAAAACCAACTTGGCTAATACCCTAGATCACCTGAAGGTCTCTGACACCACATCTACTATGGGAAATGATCCCCCCCCCCCCCACCCTGGAGGACTTTCTCTTACACCTGTCGGGCAAACGGAGTAGTAGTTAATCCAAGCCCCTATTCCTACTGAATTCTCATTAAGTATCTCTTTTCTGATTTTTGGAAATCTGCCTGATGTAGATGTAATCTTGACCGTGTGAAGTTTTCTTTCTGTTACCATGACCCGTATATGTGCCACTTTTGGACGGAGTTGAGGTCTCCAGTCCCGAATTCAGCTTTCTTCTGTATATGTCTGAATATGATGTATCTCACTTGTGAATAAAAAGCTTTCCTCTGTTTATTTGTCTTGAAGTGTACATTACATCTAGTTACTCTGTTGATTTGTTATTTCATTTGTTGCTTTTTGTCTCCTGCCTGGTTCCCTAATATCGGGATTTTGTATATTTTTTCTTTTGTGATTATGTGAAAAGGAAAAATGTAATCTCCAAAATAAAAGCTAAAAAAAAAAAAAAAAACAACAAGAGGAATATATGCCTCTCATGGGATGTAAGTAAGGAAAAGATTCACTACCTAGATCTTGACATTCAGTAGATGAGCAGAAATTATCCACCAAAACACATTTCAAGAATGTTGATAGGAATAGCTGCCTCCCTATTGATAGCTGCCATAATTTTTCTTGGCTGTATAATATACCAACAAATTCGAGTGAGAAGAAATTGTATCAAAAAGGAGGGTTTTTTTTAACAAGCTGGTATGATGGGCAGAAGATTCACCTCCAAAGGATATGATCAACAATTTATTAATGATACAATAAAAAGTGGCGAACATGGATAGGGATACTGCGATTAGTGATAAACAGAAAGATATGGTACCGATTATCCTAGAGTATAATCTACAACACAAACAAGTAGAAAACATTGTACAATGACATTGGTATATACTGAAGGCTGGCAAACATCTTAGTACTACTCTACCAGATCGACCTAGATTTGTATACAAGAGAGCCCCACTAGGGACAGCTTCACAGCCTAGTGCCCCACTGCGCATGTGCTAGAAGCGCGCTGCACTTTGTGAATGGCCCCGTAGTCTTCTGGGACCTGTCACGTGTCCCACAAGACTACGGGGAGGGAGGACAACTTCTGATCGCCTAAGCAATCGCAGTCGAAGTGGGAGCGGGTACCTGTCAAATTCAGGTACCCGTTCCCCAAAGATCTGCAGTCTCTGGTCATCTCTTGTACCATGTCTGCAGTCTCTGGTCATCTCCTGTACCATGTCTGCAGTCTCTGCTCATCTCCTGTACCATGTCTGCAGTCTCTGCTCATCTCCTGTACCATGTCTGCAGTCTCTGCTCATCTCCTGTACCATGTCTGCCGTCTCTGCTCATCTTCTGTACCATGTCTGCAGTCTCTGCTCATCTTCTGTACCATGTCTGCAGTCTCTGCTCATCTTCTGTACCATGTCTGCAGTCTCTGGTCATCTCCTGTACCATGTCTGCAGTCTCTGGCCATCTCCCTGTACCATGTCTGCAGTCTCTGGCCATCTCCTGTAGTATGTCTGCAGTCTCTGGCCATCTCCTGTAGTATGTCTGCAGTCTCTGGTCATCTCCTGTACCATGTCTGCAGTCTCTGGTCATCTCCTTCACCATGTCTGCAGTCTCTGGTCATCTCCTGCACCATGTCTGCAGTCTCTGGTCATCTCCTGCACCATGTCTGCAGTCTCTGGTCATCTCCTGCAGTATGTCTGCAGTCTCTGGCCATCTCCTGTAGTATGTCTGCAGTCTCTGGCCATCTCCTGTAGTATGTCTGCAGTCTCTGGCCATCTCCTGTAGTATGTCTGCAGTCTCTGGCCATCTCCTGTAGTATGTCTGCAGTCTCTGGCCATCTCCTGTAGTATGTCTGCAGTCTCTGGCCATCTCCTGTAGTATGTCTGCAGTCTCTGGCCATCTCCTGAGTAGTATGTCTGCAGTCTCTGGCCATCTCCTGTAGTATGTCTGCAGTCTCTGGCCATCTCCTGTAGTATGTCTGCAGTCTCTGGCCATCTCCTGTAGTATGTCTGCAGTCTCTGGCCATCTCTTGTAGTATGTCTGCAGTCTCTGGCCATCTCCTGTAGTATGTCTGCAGTCTCTGGTCATCTCCTGCACCATGTCTGCAGTCTCTGGTCATGTCCTGTAGTATGTCTGCAGTCTCTGGTCATCTCCTGTACCATGTCTGCAGTCTCTGGTCATCTCCTGCACCATGTCTGCAGCCTCTGGTCATGTCCTGTAGTATGTCTGCAGCCTCTGGTCATGTCCTGTAGTATGTCTGCAGCCTCTGGTCATGTCCTGTAGTATGTCTGCAGTCTCTGGTCATGTCCTGTAGTATGTCTGCAGTCTCTGGTCATGTCCTGTAGTATGTCTGCAGTCTCTGGTCATGTCCTGTAGTATGTCTGCAGTCTCTGGTCATGTCCTGTAGTATGTCTGCAGTCTCTGGTCATGTCCTGTAGTATGTCTGCAGTCTCTGGCCATCTCCTGTACCATTTCCGCAGTCTCTGGTCATCTCCTGTACCATTTCCGCAGTCTCTGGTCATCTCCTGTACCATTTCCGCAGTCTCTGGTCATCTCCTGTACCATTTCCGCAGTCTCTGGCCATCTCCTGTACCATGTCTGCCGTCTCTGGCCATCTCCTGTACTATGTCCGCAGTCTCTGGTCATCTCCTGTAGTATGTCTGCTGTCTCTGGCCATCTCCTGTAGTATGTCTGCTGTCTCTGGTAATTTTTTGTACTATGTCTGCAGTCCATTGGTTCAGAATATTTTTTTTCTTGTTCTCCTCCTCTAAAACCTAGGTGCGTCTTATGGCCAGGTGCATCTTATGGAGCGAAAAATATGGTACCTTGTAGTCAAGTAACATGTCTGGATATCTCACGCAGAAGTTTTAGTCCAAAAACGAGCAAAATATTATATTGATTGTAGCATAATTCTCACCTCAATTCTTGCAGTACACATTTGTAATGTATGAGTCCCTCACACAGACGTTTTATTCCAGAGTCCTTCAGATTATTTTCTGATATGTCCAGGCTGATGAGGTATCGGTTTGTGAGAAGAAGAAAATACAGGTGATCGCAGTTCAAAGGAGTCAGGTCACATAAAATGAGGCTGCAAGGAGAAAACAGACCCACAAGTTATGTTAAATTAAATTAAAGGAAAAGTTCACCTTTTGGACAAAATTAATGAATGCAAATTTATTTTGCAGGTAAAAAAATGTGCATTTATTATTTTTGTCCAAAGGAGCCTGGAAAGCATTGCACCAGTGATCAGTAGCCACTAAGGCTGTCAGGACTTGCAGCTCATTCATTCACAGAAGACTGTGAATAAATGATGTGGCCGTGTGGGCGGAGCCCCGCACGGCCGCGCTATTTTCAAATTTGACAGAGAATACAGGGAAACTTCTCCCTGCATTATCTGTCAGAGGGCACGGCTGCAGCTATGGGAACATGTTACAAATTTCTCAATCATCTCCTGCAAGGTACAGCTTGCATCTCTAACACAGAATGTTTATTCCGGAGTTATGTCAAAACAAAATAAAGGTGTAGCGCTATTAAATGAATAATAAATTCAGGCTCATAACCAGCACTACAATATGGGGGAAGGAGAGCATGGGTCCCCAAAGTATAAATACATAAAGATGAATTAATACTGAAACACGGTAGGTAAACACAGCAAAGATGTTGTGTACTAATCAGGTGCTCCATCCACAGCAAGCAGTTAATATCCATAGAATTGTAAACTTTATACGTGGACATTCATTTCATCTTATGCATATGAGTTTTATGTCAGTTTATTATCATTATTCATTTAATAGCGCTACACCTTTATTTTGTTTTGACTTTTGTTTTAGCAGCTGTGTTTTAGGAGCACTCACTATCTTATTTATTTTATTATTATATATTCCGGAGTTATGCCCCGTACACACGAAAAGAACATCGTACAAAAAATTTTGCAGAGCCACTGATCAAACGATTTTCTCTTAGTTGATGAGCAGGATGTTTTAACTGATAACGATATTGTGATAGAAAAAATCCGGTTGAACAACAGTGAAAAATTTTGTCGTTTCGCATACAAACAACCGATTTTCTATTTGGTGATATGACGGTCGTAAAAAAAAAAATCTATCAAGCGCTATCACGCATGATCGGAAACAGAAGATGACCCGGATGTTTATGTCCATTGAATCTTCGTAAACACAAACGAAAAATCCAAATGTTATTATTTTATTATTATACAGGATTTATATTAATGTTAAAAGTAGATTGGCCTAATGAGATAATGAAGCCAGAATTGTGCAGATTATATTTTATGTATCACTATTTATGTATATAGGTCATGTATTAAACTATATTATACTCATTGCTGTTAATTGTTGTGTATATCGCTCGTTCTGGCCGGAAGGGCGTGGCTACAAGGTCACATGCACGCTGCATCACTTCCACTTGTACGGAAGACGTCAACACTACGTATTGCCCGAATAACAATTTTTTTAGATTGGTTAATGTGGGCCACAATTTCGACCAATGAACGAACGCCTCTCGGTCGTTGGATGACCGATCGGTCGATTTTATAATTCTGTATTCCTGCCTTTATGTAGAATGTTATATAATAAATCTAGTCTGGTGAGGGATAGGTTTGTGAAAGGAATAGAGTGGACAAAAACCACATCCGATTAGACTTTAGAAACAATCAATCCTTTGAAACTGCATATACATTAATTCTGTGCAATTGAGGGTAAAATCAGTTGTTATTAGTCTATTTTCTCTCCAGGTTGAATGTGAGAATCAGGAAAATACCACATTATGGCCAACAGATGGAGTTGATGATCATAAATACTTATGGCCAATAAGTATTTCCTATGACCATCAATTCTATTTATTGGCCATAATGTGGTATTTTCCTGATTTACATGTTCAGACTGGAGAGAAAGTAGCCTACTAGCATTTGATTTTTTGGCCCCTTCGCACATAAAATGTGCATTCAGTTTCATAGGAAAATACACCCCATAATATTATACACTCACACCGGCCATTTTATTAGGTACACCTGTTCAATTGCTTGGTAACACAAATTGCTAATCAGGCTGCACTTTGTAAGGAAGTGCATAAATGATTGTATCCTTCTTCAGGATTGAGGCAGCAGCCTCGGCCCCGGGAGGTCTCTGGTTGAATTAAAATTGCAAGATAACAAAGGAGAGGATCAGACTTTTCTGAGTTTACTCCTGTGATAGACACACAGGAGATGATGACTGCTGTCTTCCTAGAAGGAGGTTAGAAGATGCATGGAAAATTGGAGAATAGTTCTGTATGGACTGTGCTTTGCTGTCTGAACGGCTGGGACTTGTATTTCCATGCTGTCTATGCAGCTATCTGGACACTGGGACTCAACAGCTGTCTGTGTGGTCTGGACGCTATGGCTAAGACACACAGCCCTCTGAGGATTCGTGATGTGCCTATGAACCCCACTGACAGCTGAGCATGAATGAATGTTTAACTACTAAAATACTGCATGACTTAATAATATAACTTATGTGGTATTTTAGTAACTCAGCAGTATCTTACCACATACCCAGATGCCGTAAGATACTGTTCAGTTTGGTTAGTTTTCAAAATTCACGGTCGAACATTCTGCAGGTTCGGATGTTGGACCGCAAACCGAGCAGGGAGGTGTTCGGCCCATCACTAGACTTGAGTTCCCCCCACTTTCCTTGCTATACACAGAGCTGAAGAATGTATTTATTAAATTTGCCTTCTGTTTGTCCCCAGGCATCAACTCAAAATTATCTTGTAAAGGGTCTAATAATTAACTTTGAAAAAACACAGAATCATATGCAGCCCCACCCATAATGCTTCACCACCATTACACTCTCCATTACCAAGGTTCTTTTGCACATTCACTTTGAGATCACTTCTCACATAGAGACACACATCACCGCCTTTCCGTTTTACCCTGTCTCTCTGAAAAAGAGCATAGCCAGTAAAATAATAGCCCAGGATTGTAAAGAATGAAGCCAAGATTCAGCAATACCAATGAAATCATAGTTCTCTTCATGCACTGAAACTTCCAACTCTCCTATTTTGCTTTGTAGACTTCTGGCATTGGTGAACAAACACTTTTATTCATTGTCACATTCTGCACTTGTGTTTTGCATATCTTTTTTTTTAACAGTACTATAATTGTCAATGGTTGTTTGTAAATTGGTAAACTCGTTATGACCTGCCATATCCCTCCTCCCATCTTCCCCTATTCCATGGCCTATTAGTTTCTGACCCCTGAGTGAACTGATGGCCCCATTATATTCTAATTCTCCCTACCCCCTCAGTCCTAGAATAAATACTCCTCCAGCTTTCCAATAAACCATCTTTAGCATAAATCTTGCACCCCAATGAAAACTCAGCCCAGTGCTCTAGAAACCCAAATCTTTACCTTTTACACCAGGTCTTTAGCCATGCATTCTGCTCTCTAAGCTCCTCCTTGCTTTCTTTCAATATAATCAAATCAAGCACTATGCTTCTTCCCTGTTTTGATATTCTGATAACTCTATGACTTTTAAGAATATTTGTAACACTGATTACCATGCGTCAGTGATTATTTCCACTGTATACCCATCCATAGTGATGTCATGCTCCCCTTTGATGCCTAAATATACTACAAATTGGGAATCAAATCTTCAGACCTCTATCTCCCATGAAAACTGGCAAGACATCTGGTCTAATATATCAAAAGTTCTATTAGCAT